ATGGCAGCCCGATTGTTCATACAGTTACTCTGCATGTCATACAATGTATGCGTGGTACTTCATGTGTGCTCGCTCCAGGGTAAGTCTACTCCAATTGAGATGCAAGTTAATTGCATGTATATTATACGTATCTACCTATTATAGCAAGGTTGCATGTAAAATTTATTCACAAGTCCCTTCTCGTCATTCACAATATAATAATATCAATAGCGAGACTTTACCACCTATTAACGTATGTATGTAGGCCTGAATATGATGGAACAGATAACGAAATGAAATACTGCTATCCAGTGCGTCAATCTGATGAAATAAAAGACTTTAGGGATGGCGGGGGATATTATAGCGGGGACATGAACCTGATCATACTCTGGTGAATCCCATTTGATGCAGGGATATGATAGACTCTATTTGGTTCCGATATCCGGGAAAAAGGGGTGGAACCATTAGATGGATTTCTGCAAAAAATATTACTTCTAAATATTTAAACAATAACACACCTATTCTGCTCTGTATTGATGTTTTGTTCATACAACGAATGCGATGGCGGAAACGAACGATTAAGCATGTTAAATGTGTGGATCAAACACGTACTGATAACCCTAATGTATGCGTGTCATGACAAGGGTTTTTAATCCAATAAACACTCTTCAAATTTGATTTCAGACTCTTCTGATTTGTCATCCAAAGTGTGTTATTCTTGTCACTAAAATATTAAACATTTAGTTTGTGTATGCTATTGCTGTATGCATTTGTTTTCCCTCTTGATAATGTAAGTATAGCTGTTTTGTTTACCAGCATTTGTATGTTTCGAACGTTTATTGTTAATGCATTTTAAATAATGTCTTATATTGTAATTGTTCTTGTGTAATTGTTTGCCCGCTGAACAGGCTTCTCTGTGTAAAGAGGCGATTTAAATGAATGAAATAAAAAGAAATAAACATGTTCGCCAAATCTTAATAAATGCTGCCTACTTTTATAGTTCGCAATGTGTATAGTCTTACTGCAGTATATAGGGTATATCGTCTTATGTATACTGAACACTAATGAAAGTGAAAGTGAGTACACCCGGAAATGGTCGAAGAGAGTGTTTCCTTCTCTGTATTTTGTTCTAACAATACCACTGCTGGCCTAGTGAGAGATGATGGTAAAATTAATCCTGACACTACATAATTCTAATAGAATGATATTTCATTTGAATTTGTCTTGTTTCATTAATTTATATCATGTCAAGTACACATTCCTGTGAATTAATTGTTACGTTCAGTTATCTTAGTTTGATCTAGAATGAATAGTTTCGCCATGAAGTTTGCTCGATGTAGTTACTCCTTGGCTTAAATTTAAAGTTAATATGTTTTTTGCCAATGTTTATCTTTCCCCTTCACTTGTTAAACAAAAAGCGATAGCATTAACCATGTCTATCCAGAGAATGAGGTTCGTTGTTCTAAGCAAGAAAGTGTCTATGTACTTTGTGTTTGTGAGAATAATCACTGCCGAGTAAAATGCCTAAAGAGATGGAAGTATTATAGCTTCATAATTACAACGATACATATCGAAAATATATCTAACTCTAGATTACAAATGTACATCAATGTATTTGTTTCCTATTCTGCTACACAGCACGAAGCTTTTAAGAACCTTCGATACTGTTTGGTGTCATTGCAAATTAATTCCCAGGTGGATCATCTGTATGTGGGTTTTCTTGCAAGTAAGCTATTGTTTGACTTTATGTAATTACCTTATAACGTCACGAATTAAATAAACCACAGTTTATATATAAGTATATCCTATCTTTATAATGCAGGTGTGAATTGTGATGTACCAGATGGCGTTGTATATACCGACTTACACAAAACTGCAGAGAAAGGAGATGAGCTTGTTCTGAAATGCCAATTCTATGGTACGCCAACCGCCGTTTACTGGAAGAAAGGACATGACCCAACGAACTCACCCAACCTGATCACGTGGGTGGAAGGAGAATCCGCCTCCGGGTCATGCGTTCATGACGGGTCTTGCTATTTGAGCGCTGACTTCTCTCTCATCATCAGAAACATTACAGTTTCAGATCAAGGAACATATATCTGCAGAGTTTCAAACTACAAAGGGATCTTCATCCACAACTTTACAGAAGTAAACGTTTTTGGTAAGTTTATCGTAATGTGTACATTTTATAGAATGACTGAGAACTACCCTAAAGAGGATTTGTTCATAACTATCTCCATGATTTAGAATTATACTACTGCTACATGTTAACCTAATACTTATAGTTATAGAATGTTTAACAAAAACAAACAAAAAAGAAAATGTATTACTATTATATTTACCATAAGACAACATTTACTTGTACTATAATATTAATAGCTATATTAATATATATTCAATTTTATTTTATTTATTTTTTATTTTTTTCAACAGCAATACATTTCATACATTTCATACAATAATTTACATATACAGGAAGAGAAACTATTGGTTGGTAAAAGGGGCCAGATAATAGTCGAGCCTAGCCCCTTAAACAGCTAAACAAAGTATTTTGGTACATAGTATGTAAAAATGTATGTAATAAATCACAATCATTTAAGACACCAAACAGTATGTAGATTATTATGATAAATTCGTAGTAGTTTTCATTAATATTAAGCGCAGATTTTTCACTACATGTGGGCCTTTGGGTGTTATCATCCATCTATACCGCCCATCGATCTACGCCGTTGTAGGTGGCTTAGTAAAATTATCGTTACCGGATACAAGCACCATTTTTGGTACAGGGCTTCCTTAGGACCTACTGAACGATATTAGGGTAGGAGCCCCCGGCAAAAATTTCAAATAGGGGTGTGGTGGGTGGGGGCGTCGTCCCAGAGCCCCAAATAAGAACAGAGTGAAATAACATTGATTTGTTGTACAAATGCACATTTTGGCACAGGGCTTTCTTAGGACTTATTAAAAAATAATAGGATAGAAGCCCCCTGCACAAAATTAATATAAGGGTGTGGTGGACGGGGGCGTCGTCCCAGAGCCCCCAAATAAGAAATATGGTAAACTAACATTGATTTGTTGTTGTGCAAACGCAATCTTTTGGTAAAGGGCTTTTTTAGGTCATTCTGAAAGATGTTATGATAGTAGCCCCCAACAAAATATTTATGAAGGTGCGATTTGGGAGAGGGATGGGGCGTCGTCCCAGAGCCCCCAAATAAGAAATAAAGTCAAATAACATTGATTTGTTGTTGTAAAAACGCAATTTTTTGTACGGGGCTTCCTTTTGACCTACTGAACGATATTAAGGAAGGAGCCCCTAATATTAACTTAAAATATTAACTTAAGAGTGAAGGGGACAGGGGCGTTGTTCTAGAGTCCCCACATCATATACAGTGCATAATCACAATGATTTTGTTTTTGTTTACCTGAATACTACTGAAAAGAAATTCATTTAAAATAACATTGATTTGGTGTTGTACACATGCCATATTTGGTACAGGGCTTGTAAGGACTTACTGAAAGATATTAGGGTTGGAGCCCCCAACAATATATTCATATATGTGTGATTTGGGGGCGTGGCGTCGTACTGGAGGCTTATTCTTGTCTCATTGATAGAGTTTGATGGACTCGACTTGTCTTACAAGACAATGGTCGGTCTTGAAAGGCTCAGAGTCAACGGTCATCTTCTAACAAGGATGCTTGGCTAGATAAGCAAATGTCTCTGTGGCATCATGGTACACTTTACAAGCCTGCTAGACTGACTTCTTTCCCATGCCATGAAATGCTTATGTCGTGTCGCAACCCAAATATGGATATAACACAGGAAGTGCTCGTGACTTTGGCTCTCCCAAACTCCCACATATGGCATTGATGTGTAAGTATCTGTATTTCTTCCCCATACATTATGCTACCAAGGTATCAGTTGAGTCTTGAGGAGATCATAGAATTTGCTGACACGGATGACTACAACATCAAGACACTGCCAGTTCCTCTCTTTTCACAGGTAGACTCTGACTTTCTAACTGTCAGGAATGTAAGGGTCCCACACAAGATCTAATCTCTTGGTAGTCTGCAGTTGCTTCTCGAAGTATGGAATGAAGACTTCGTTGGCGTACCCATCAAAGTACTGATGTCGATAACAGGCAGACAGAGGACGATGACAGCTCCATCGAATACTTTACAGCAATATGCTAATGGTGGCCCTGGTTGGTCAGGCTGCTCAGGGCAATGCAGCAGGTCAGACTTTATACCTAGTAAATGAAGATCAGTACCAAAGTCTGAGAGAGAAGAGCCGTGTAGAGTTTGCCAAAAAGTGCTAAATTGCTATGAAGCACTTCAATCAATCTTCTTGTCTTTCTTCTGAACTACCTTGCAGTGCGAATTTCTGAAGAGAGCCAGTGAATTTTTCTTGATTGGATCGTGGATTGAGGGGGTACGCTCATCAAGCACAGTCTTGAAAAACTCTTGGTTCTGTTTCCTTCTAGTCTCCTCCAGAGTGTGGACTGTGGTAACAACGGCCCTGTCTGTGCATTTGCAACTGGCAAGCGTTACCAGATCATTAAACTCATCCGAAAATGGACTACCCGTTTGCCTGATGCTTGTAGAAAGGGCTTGATTGTTTCTGAAACGACCTCTATGATGAGAGACCTTGCTCATGGTGCTGGATCGATTATCTACCGTGAAGTATTCTTCCTCAAACTCTTTCAGCATTCTCGTCATGTCTGGTTCAGAGATCATCCATCGTCTGAGAGCAGCGGGGTTTACCAGGAGTCCAATATCGCCATCTGTACCTTTCAAAATCTTGTTCTCTCGCTCATGGGCCTGGTAAAAAGGGGTTGAAGAAAGCTTGTCTGATGTTTTGGAAAGAACACAGTGTGAGTTTTGATCAATCTCCTTCTTGACAGAGGCTGGTAAAGACTTCATATCTTGAATGTGGACAGGCGTTCACCTGGAATAGTTCACATGGTCCTAAGCGAAATACCTTCACATACAGTGGGAAGTTTTTCTCTCTGTGAGCTCTGTTCAAGATGAGTATGAGGGCTTCATATTTCATGATCTGGTCCGAGAACAAGAAAGTAGGGCCCTTCTTCAGCATGTGATCCCTCCACTCCGTGGCTGATCGGTCATCCTTGGGGCCTGTACTTGGCAGGAAAACCTCCTGCCGCAAATTGTTGAATTACAGGCGAGGGGTCATAAGGGGGTTATGCCTTTGATTGGTTGGACCAGGGCATGTGAGTTAAAGTCTCACCTCCCTGGTTGGACAATAAATGTTGCAAAGAGTGTGTTAGGAGGAGGGCTTTTATAACTGTATAAACCAACCCTTCCGCAAGCATCATGAATTAATTTTTCTTTTTTTAAATCCATGTCAAATAGATAAGGTAGTGATTTAGTATCACACTTCAATGTTTAACATGTAATAATACAGTGGTATTGCCATGTAGATCAGTTTGTGAGGCTACACCCCACTTACCTTAACTTACTGTATGATGACCGTGTTCTGTTGTTATTTTGGATAGGACTATTTACCGGCAATTCACAATATTCTACCCCAGAATATGCAAAGTATTCAGGTAAAACAAATCAACGTGATTGTGTGGGGGCTCCGGTACAACGCCCCTGCTTCCTTCACACTTATATGAATGTTTTTTTTTCAGGTATCCCTTTCTTAACATCGTTTAGTAGGTCATAAGAGAGCCCTGTACCAAAAACAGGCGGTCGTATAATCACAAACCAATGTGATCTTACATTATATATAACATGGGGGCTCTGGCTCGACGCCCTGCCCCTTCACACATATATGAATATTATGCCGGGGGCTCCTACCCTTACATCATTCAGAAGGTCATAAGGAAGCTCTGTACCACAAAATGCATTATTACAACAACATATCAATGTTATTTTTAATTTATTTCTTATTTGGGGGCTCTGGGATAACGCCCCCGCCCCCAAATTGCACCTTTATAACTATTTTGTTGGGGGCTCCAACCCTCACAATGTTCAGAAGTCCTAAGGAAGCCATGTACCAAAAATTGCATTCGTACAACAACAAATCAATGTTATTTTACCTTATTTCTTAATTTGGGGCTCCGGGATGACGCCCCCGCCCACCACACCCCTATTTGACATTTTTGCCGGGGGCTCTTACCCTAATATCGTTCAGTAGGTCCTAAGAAAGCCCTGTACGAAAAATGGCGATTGTATCCGGCCTGTAACGATAATCGATACATTTGACGCTAAGCCACCTGACTATTGCTACAGAATGGTAGGTTGACAGCATCATGACAGTACGCGTCATGACGCGCGCCCTTCTGTTGTCATATATGCATGTGTTGTAGGAATTGAAACATGAACCGCCAAGATGGGGAATCCCAAACCGTTAGTTTGCTGTGGATCCTTGTCGCGCACTTTTCTGTCGTCATGCGTGTGATGTAGGAATTGAAGCATGACCCGTCTATATGGGAAATCCCAACCCGTACAGTTTGCTATTGACTTCAAATTAATGCTTTGGTAAAATGAGATTCGGATCCTTTCCGTCTCGTAAATACAAAATGGCAGCCCGATTGTTCATATAGTTGCTCTGCATGTCATACAATGTATGCATGATACTTCATGTCTGCTCGCTTCAGGCTAAGTCTACTCCAATTGAGGTGAAAGTTAAATGCATGTTTATTATTAGTATCGAGCTATTGTAGTGAAAAATATTATAGCAGGCATATGAACCTGATCATACTCTGATGAATCCCATGTTGGTGCAGGGACAAGATTGATACCCGAATCTATAAATGACCTCTCGTTTGACTGTACATTGAAAAAATAAAAAAAACACGGCACCCTGGGTGAGTAAGTTGGAAAACCTAAACAAAAGGGTTAAGGGTGTAACTAATCAGATGTAGTAATGCTAAACAAATTCTTCAAAACATTTGAATATTGATATTTGCACAAGTGGATGCTTTATTTCTACACTCAATATGATGATGTTGCAGGTGTGTGTAAAAACAAAACATGCATGTTTATTTTTTTATGTATGTAGCTTATAATTTGAATTCGCCTTTTGAAATAATTCTTAAGACTAAAAACGAATGATTGTATATTAAACTTTACAGTAGGTATCTTAACAAATCACGCTACACAATTGTATCATAATGAAATGTGATTTTTTTTATTTTTTTTTATTTTATTGATTTATATCTGTGGGTCTAATATATCTTGGAACTATTGTTGTCTTGATACAGATGTACCAGATGGTTTCGTGTACACTGATTTACACAAAACGGCACACAAGGGAGATAGCGTTGTACTGACATGTCAGTTCAGTGGGACACCTTTAGCTGTCTATTGGAAGAAAGGGGATAACCCAAGAACAGCACCAAACCTTGTTTCATGGATTCCAACTGATGATGTGACAGGATTGTGTAAAGGTGAAAGGCCATATCAGATCATGGAGATGAATGAAGACCGCTCTTTGGTCATCAAGGAAGTCAGCATAGCAGAACAAGGTCGATACATCTGTAGAGTATCATTATACAAGGAGGGACTGAAACACAACTTTACGGACATCAGTGTATTTTGTGAGTAATGCTTTGAGCCCGCCGCACCCTACACAATTCTCCTACGATCTGTATTTCGTTGAAAGGGCGATTTTATTAGACATAGATATCTAAACACCCACTAGTCTCTGTGTTTAGGTTCTAAATATTAATCTGAATATGAACAACCGGAATTTTGTTGCATATAAATCTTCTAGTCAGAATAAAAGCTGTATCGTCCTGAAATCGTGAACAATCACATTATTGGTCTGACATCATTGCGATTCTGAGCTTCTTCTTTTTTTTAATGAATTTATTGATAAATATATGCTTTTGAACAAATCAAACAATCATACACAATCAATTGAAATAACATCGTAACATCTTAACATAGTTCAAATAAAACATGTTTCGTTTTCCTGAATAACAGTGTTTTCAAAAATGCATAGCTTTTTTGTTTCACAGTTCCTTTCGATCTTTCTTCGGCTGTGGATTAATCTTTTGAAAATACAAAGAATAAAGACTTCATGAAACATGAGTTTGCGATTTTCTGCTTGCATAAATGTTAGATAAACTGCTTTTTTGCATATATGATAAGAAAATGTAAACTTTTAAATATTTTGTTCTTCAAGTTATAACCTTCAATTAAAACGAACTTGTCAAAAGAAAAATTAAAATTGTAAAGTTTTCGAATTATGTCTCCAAATGTTAACCAAAACAATCTTGTATGCTTGCATTTTACAAATAAATGGAGATTGTCGTGTAACTGATCATCATATAAACATAAGGGATTGTTACACAATTTCCATTTGAATAAATTATACCCATTTGGTAAAAAGTTGTGTAATAACATTCTGATATTTTGACTATATGACTTTCCAGTCGATTCTAAGCTGATTTAGCTTTTCCCTTCATAAAGAAATAACTGTCCAGGTCTAGTTGTTAGTAATAAAGCCTGATAAATGAACATAAACATTTTCATTGTACCAAAGTCGGTCACACCTTCATCCAATGCTACGCCTACCCTTGTACAACATAACGTTCATTCATTTGCGTAATCGCTACGCTCCCTCGCACGTTTATTTTATTGTTTACTCTATGTAAGCTCAGTCTTATCTGATGTATATCAATCCTTTCTAGGTTCATTTTAACAAATACTCAAACAAAACGATAGAGAGCAAATAGGGACTCAGAAAGCACTATTTATATGTTATCAGATTCCGTGCATGCAAAGTTAGAAATATCACGTTAAAAATTGCTGCGGATATTTTGTAAGGAAATATTTCTTGTTTGTAGTTCCTATTTCACAGAAAAAATATAATGGCAACGTTGTTTCTGATTACATTATAGCTCCTCCAATGGAACCCTTTCCAATCATCAATGAATGTCAAATGAACTCTCCGAACAACACTAAACCTGCCTGTACCATTTCAACGAACCATTCAGTGGAGATAAGCTGCACTGCTTCAGGTTACTTCCCAGAAATCGACCTTTACTTTCAATATGGATCCACACGTCTTCACACGAAGGAAACGATTGAAGTTACCAATCTTGACGGGACAAAAAACAAAACTATATTCGTCATCGCTACAGCCAGTGAAATCAGTTATGTTTGTTTTGCGTCTAATATACCTGGATTGCAAGAGCAGAGAACAACAACTGTTTTAGTTAACTTACCAGAAAGCTCTTCCCCCATGCCTACTGGAACCACAATTCCGATTGAAAGGAAAGATGGAGATGTAGCTAGAGTCGGTAAAAACATTTGTATTTTTCCATTTTATTATTTCAAAAATAGCAAAAATAACATAAAAGGAATTAAGATTAATATTGGACGCTAACAAAAAAATATTTCAAGGGATGTGTTATAAATGCTTAAATACCTTTTAAAAAGGTAGGCCTACATGGCAATTAGGATATTTCATTTAAAATACCTGACCTTACACATGTCCAGGCGAGAAAAATGAAACAAGAAGTACATGTTCCTTTTCATGCAATTTTTTTCTCTTTCTATTGCAGTTGTACCAGTCATATTAGCTGTCATTTTTGCTTGTGTTGCCATCATATTTTGGCGTCGGAGGAAACAAAGGAGGAATGAAGGTATGTTTATATTTATAGCTCGTAATCACTGGGTTGAGTTATGAACACTCATCATCATCAATATTTCAAATAAAAGAATGGAGCTCATAGCAGAAACGAATGAAAAGTATTTTTGTTTTATTGAGACTTTTGGCCACCTGGATTCAATTATAATTTGTCAGGCCGTTTTCCTATACAACTTTTTTTGTTTCCGCACAGAAAATGACGACCAGGAATCTATGCTACTACATCCAGACCCACAAATATACGGTAACTCCTTATATTTATCTTTTATTAAAATTTTAAAAATCCAAGTTATTTATAGTAGATACACATACAAACTAACACGCAGATGCACAAGCGTGGAAACAAACACACACACACTCACACTCACACGCACACACACACGTACACACATACAAATATACACACATACCCCCTCCCACCTGCAGATTTAATCGCTAACAAATTGCTTTGGAAACATTTTACGAAGATATAATTCAGAATATCACTTATTATATGTGTATATATATACAAACAAATATATATATTAATATAACAATACTTGATTCCTTGCTATTTGTATTAAGAGTAATTGTTTTTCTTTTTTTTTCTTTTTTTTAAACGATAAGATATTGCGTATATAAGGGAGTGCTGACATTATTTCAGTGTAAGTTTTATGAAATACCATATTTCTTTATTTGTTATGTAATTTCTGACATGGTTACGAAAAAATACTCAACAATTTGTGGGTTATAATTCCTTTCAGGGAAAGTATCCTTCTTTGAACTGTGGTACCTGGTACATAATATGGAAGAGACTAAGTTAAATATCATACGGGGTGCCCTCATCGATCTTGGTATTCCTAGTGTCGAGGAAGAACTAACTGAAGACAAGGCCTATGACCTACTCTGTGACTGGAAGGATACAAATACACTTGACAATGAAGGAATGAGGCTGAAGAATGTATTAAATGGACATGGACTTGGCCGTTCCTGGAAAGAGATGTGTGGTAGGTATTGATTCACTTCTAAATGTAATGATCCACAGTGTACCGGGGTTTTTTTATACTTAATTTTACTTATTTGTTTGTTTTGTTTTTACATTGTGGATCTCTTACGTTGTAAATGCTAAACCAACCGATACTTTTTTGATAGGTAGCCAATGTTCTACCATTGGACTATTAAATGGCATTGGCAGATTGACAAAAACAGATGAAAAAGGGAGTTTAGATACAATTTGCAACATTTCGAATTATAATATTTAACGAGGTATAGTTTGGAGTTTGTATATTTTTAAGTATAAAACATACATGGAAATGAAAGTGTCATAAGGACTTTAAAGACATTCAAACTAATAGATTTCAATGTTTTGTAGTAGATTTACGAGTATGATTACGACCTTGTTCATTCTATGTAGAACGGAGATATGATGCAATGTCTGCGGTTTCTGAAGAACTGTTGGATCATGTTTTATGGAGCATTGGTGATGAAACAAAGATTCACCAATTCCTTCGTGAACTGATCACCGAGAAACGAAAAACTCGACCCAGTGTCTCAGGAAATAAAAGAGACGTCATCGAGGAGTCTATGGTGGTCTTGAGGGAATGGCGTGACAAAGCACAGACTAAAAACCAAGTCATTCAATTAAGTTTAGCTCTAGAAAGAGCTAAGTGCAAGCCGCTTGATAGGACTTTCTTCAAGGGTGAGATTCGTGTGTTTTCCCTAGGTTTCTAATGATGCTATTCATTTGTGATCAAATGAATGTATTCGTTTCTTGCGACTTTAAAACTGTCCTGTCGCTCACCAAGATAACAAAAGAGTACTCAATAGAGCTTTAAGACTAATTGTAATGCTCTGGGGTTTATCAATAACACTCAAGGCGCATCATGTGAGGGACAGAACCTGGAGGAAGTAAGAAGAAATGAGAGTCAAAATTTGTATAATGATTCAAATGCAGAACCTGATGGCGATGATCAATTTCATCTCCCATATATTACGTCTAAGTTTGTCTTTAATGAGTTATCTAAAATGTCGTCTAAGAAAGCAACAGGTCCTGACGGTATGCCAACTAAACTACTTAAACTTATATGTGAGGTCCCGGTTTTGATTGAAAGCCTAACTTACATATTTAATTTATCTTTATCAACTCAGTCCGTGCCCGAATCCTGGAAATTAGCTCGAATCCAGCCCATCCATAAGTCTGGGATCAAAAGTAAAGTTGAGAATTATAGACCGATATCTCTACTCTCTGTAGTATCAAAGGTACTAGAAAGGGCTGTTCACAAGCATCTGTACCAGTATTTATTACAGAATAATAAACTTTGTGGAAACCAATTCGGGTTTCGTCCTGGACATTCTTGTGAAACGGCATTGTTATGCATGATCGATCATTGGGCCAGCAATGTAGATAAAGGAAATGTTAATGGTCTTGCTTTTATTGATTTTAGAAAAGCTTTCGAGACGGTAAATCACTCAATTCTGCTACATAAACTTACTCAATATGGTTGTTCTGAACAGAGCATACGTTGGTTCCACTCCTATTTAGTCAATCGAAAGCAATTTGTTACCATCCAAGATAAATCCTCGGTTGAGAGGGATGTTCGGTCAGGCGTGCCTCAAGGCTCGGTATTAGGGCCGCTTCTATTTATTATTCTGATTAATGATCTACCCCAGTATCTAAGTTCATGTAGTGTGTATATGTATGCAGACGATGCAACACTGTCTGTAAGTGGAACATCTATCCAAGAGATTCAAAATAAACTGAATCACACAATGTGTAAACTCCATGAATGGACATTGATGAACAAAGTGATTTTAAACACAGACAAGACTAAAGTCATGTTGGTGGGTTCACACCAAAGGATTAGTACTTTTGATGATGCGACCTTAAAGGTAGATGTAAACGGTAAGCGACTGGAGTGTGTCTCAGCCTATAAATGTCTAGGTGTTACTATTGACGTAAATCTCACGTTTAGTAAACATGTTGAAAATATCTCCCTCTTAATCAAACAGAAACTGGGAATTGTACGCAGGCTCCGTGAATCTTTAACGCAATATCAACTAAAACAATTGTACTGGGGCTATGTATTACCGCATGCTCTTTATTGCTGCACTGTATGGTCTAGTCGATTTAAATACAATGTCGATATGCTAAATAAACTTCATAAAAGAGCAGCTTATATTATTTCTAGACAGTCTTGGCACATTCCGTCGCGACAGGTCTTGGATGGCCTAAAATGGCCGACTCTTAATGAATTGTTCGATAAGGCCACTTGTTGTCTGGTTTTTAAATGTATTAATAATTTAGCACCTCCAGCTATGTCGGATAAATTTGTATTATTAGATGATGTTATGCAACGCACAACTCGAAATAGTAATAAGAATCTGTTGAAACCTTTTAAGTGCAATACTGAATTTTATGCTAACACTTTCGTGAATTATGGCGTTAAAGTGTGGAACAAACTTACAGTAGAAGCCCGACTTTGTTTAACTCTCAATGTATTTAAACGGATGATATCAAAGAAGTAACATGTTTTTAAATTTTCTTAAACTCGTTTTAAATTTGTATCCACTAAATTGGATCTGGGATAATTATAGGTTCTCTGTCATTTTTATCATAAATCCTGTATCTTGCTGAACATTGTAAAATCTGACCTTTCTTGCCTTTTTACAATATAATATGAGCGGTGTCTCACTTCCTGTTTTTTTTTTTTTTTTTTTTTTTTTAATACAAAGGTCATTTTAACTTCTTATATTGTATCATTATTTACCTTTAATATGGTCTCACCTTTACTATATATATTTGTCGTCGTATTTGATTTTATACTCTATTTTTCTCTCACTTTATTAAATATGTAAACATTTTGCATAGCTATTTGCATTTTTACAAAGCAAGGCAACATGAAAGATCAGGTTTTTGTTCTTTATCGTAAATTATTTCATATTGTTAGTTTTACTTGTTTATCATTGTGCTTTGATTTCAATATGCTTTGTGTATTCAATTTATCTTTTTCTTCCTACTGTTATATGTATGATTTTGTTTTGATAATTTGTATAAATGTGTATTTTTATTGAGACAGGGCCTTATGGAAGACCAGTTTTTAATCTGAATGAGATACCCTGTATAAATATGTGAAATAAATAAATAAATAAATAAAGGATGTGTTATCTTATAATCATGTTCTTACTCTCCTCCTCTTTTGTCATCACTCTTCTTCATATTTTCCATATTTTTCCTTTTCATGGCCAGTACCTGCGTTGATGGGTGCAAGTGCTAATCATTGTAATCATGCAGAAGTATTTTGTAACACATATTGGGCATTTCGCGAATTATTATTGTTTGTTCGTAATTCCTGAACATCTCATGAAGGTGATATCCCCGCAGGAGGTAAAAGGGTTCGTCTATAAACTGACAGGAAGACATTGCAAGAGGCTTGCTAAGGCTGTAGGAATCACTGATGAGAAGGTGATTGCCGCCATCATTAATGAAAATAATGATGATTTGTTTGACACTCAATCAATGATCAATGACTGGGTAGACGGACAGGAATGCTGCAACTTCGAGAAGAGATGCAGGCTTGATGATGCCGTCATCAAAATTGGTCGTCATGACATGACAGGTATGTATGTATTTTTGTAATTACTTATTCACCCCTTCGTATATCCATTACTTAATCAACTAATTAATTCAATAAGTTATACAATTCATTAGTTGATTAAGTTATTTATTTATCCTTTTATCCATTCATCTATTTATAATAGCAGTGGCGCGCCAAATGTATTCATATTAGTTATAATATCATCATTGATAATAGTAATAGTAGTGGTGTCAGATGTAGTATATGTAGTTGTAGTTGTAGCAGTAGTATTACAATTAATAGAGATAAGGAAAATTGACAATGAATAAATTAACCAGGCATACATCAACATATTTCAACGATCATGTCCGGCGAGATTTTCATATTGTTCGAAATTACATGAAAAGTGTTATCATGACTATAACAAGTTTTACAAATGGTCTGAAACCATAACAAAGTTCTATCCTAAAGAAAACATATCAGTATGTAATTAGTCTCAATAAGAAAATAAGGTGAACAGACCATGCGGATCCAACCGGACAGCCATCTTAAGCAGTGAATTCGTCATTATTGTAGTTATTTTCGTATTCAGCAAAACTGTATATATATATTTTTATCTTGCACTACATCAAATACTGTTCTTTAAACTTTAAAGCTTAAGAGCATATTCTCTTGAGCCGTGCATGAGGTTAATATTCATAGTGATTGTTTTGACATTTTATTATTCATTATGTCTGTTAAAAGACTACCTTTTTCGAAAGGGCATAAGCTTTTTCTGATTTCATTTTATATGTTTTAGATTCATTTGGGACGACCACACATCGTGTAAAAACGGGGGGTATTGTACAAAGACCACATCCCGATGCAAAGAATTTCAGTGAGTTTACTTTTTTTTCTTTCTAGTAAATAGCAATTTATTTATTTTTTATTTACCTTTCCATCTATATAATGAATACATAGACTCCGATTTTAAGAAGAACAGAAGTACTTTCACACCCCTCGCCGGGAAATCCTATCCTATGACTTTAACAATTGTTATAAGCAAAATTATATTGGAAGCTAGACTTCTCCCGTTGCTGAAAAAGGCTCGTTCTTGTCAGAATCATAAATTTTAACTGCTCTATTTGCACCACATACTTTAGAAAACTTAGGCAGGCATCTGGTAAGCCAAACTTTCTATTCATTTAATCAAACATGTCAATGTCAACAGTTGTAGTTTTCCGTTTGTTTTGCAAACAAAATACGCATGATTGTCAAATAATCGTGTTTTATATATCACCTACGTGGATCCTTGTCATTTGATTGGAGGATTGTTGGTCACATGATATTCCATAGATGTTATATTGCACGCGCGTGCATTTTTGGTTATATGCGCCGTGCATTTATTGTTATATGCAGACTGCGTACCTCTCTGCCGTGCGCGTATCCCTGCGTTTATCTGACGCGAAGGCAATCTGAATGTAATCGAGAAGGCTTCACTCCAACTTTAATTTATCTTTAATGTGAGGAGTAAAGCATAATTTGTTGATTAACGTTCTATTAGATCTTCTTCGATGTTGTATACATCAAATAATAAATGTTTTTCATTCGTTTAATAGTGCGAATAATTTCATTCGTTGAAAGATTAATGTTAATTCTGTTCAACTCGGCTGATAAGAACGTTAATCTTTCAACTCATGAAAATATTAGCACTATTGAACTCATAACCATTCATTATAATAATAATAATAATAATATTGTATATTTATATGGCGCACATATCCACTCAAAACAAAAAGACAAACATATGTGTTTTTTATGACAGTACACTGGTCTTCGAAAAACTGTAACTGTCATGTAAGCAAAGTTTTCAGATATAAAACTTAATCTTACAAAACAAATGGAAGTCTTGAAAAAGATCATTGAACAAATGTTTTCATAGATTAGAATCACTCCATATATGTATTCACTTGGTTTTTACCCTCCGACGCTCAGAAAAGTATCGACAAATAATGAACGTATAAAATGCGTCATAAATATTTGAACATTTATTATCCTAGCATTTATAACCTACTACGGTGACTACTGACCTTTGCTTTGCACACAGATAGTACTAGCATATTCAATGATGATCTACATGCGTTGCTGAAGCATCTTCCAACAGCTGAGATATCGGTGTTACTTGAGAGGCTTGGTATCTCAATTGATGAGGATAGGAACGATGTGGAAGAGAAGCTGCGAGGCTGGAGAGATGAACATCTCCGAGGATCTAAAGCGTGTTCTCTGAAGGAACTTGTTTTGATTCCCAAAGATGCGCTGAACAAGACGAACAACAGTAATGGTAAATATGTTTTGTCCTCATTCAACACGACAAAACATTCACTTATCCTTCCAAATTTATTTTTGTATCGATGAATCTAAAGTAGTGATAAAGATGATTTTTTTTTTCACTTCCGGAAAATATATCGCCTAACACTGCGGCGGCCAAATACTAAAGCTGTAAAGAGCAGTACTTTAAACCGAAAGTTTCCATTATCTGCCATTTGTATTGTTTAAAGTGACAAGAAAATAAATGTATTCTTGCTTCATACATCATAATATGCTCCAAAAGAAGGAAAGTTAAAATATCTTTCCGCATACACCTGCCAAATTGTATGTAAGTGTTTGTTGTAAATCAATTGTTTTATAAGTACTCGACTTAACAGATGAGGAACTAGAGGACGTGTTTTCAAGTATCTGTTCAAGAAAACAGATGGACCAGTTAACGTCAGGGCTTGGAGTAGATATCAAAGATGAGTCATTGACCCTGCAGGATCTAAAGGAATGGAGGGATAGCCAAGACATGGAGAAACGACGAGAAACTCTAAGAAAAACACTCCATGACATGAAATTACCAGGTTCGTACAAAAACATTAGTAGGCAATGTTCAATCTACAATGCAGATATCAAGAAACATTCATGTCAAACGAATACCCATTATAGGAGAGATCATCACACATTTTCTGCAATATAAGAATCTTCAGAGTCTCACAAGTCAGACACTTTAATACGCATCCCAAGTTAGATGGGCTTTTGCCTTCAAACTAATCTCAGTACACGATTTACATAATTGTAGCATAATGACTACCGAGCTAAATGCTGAAGTCTACTCCTTTATCTTCTAGGATGCATTGTTAATCGGCGTCCTCCACAACATGTGTACAAAGCTGAGATGGTACGTTTAGCGTTCAGTATGCTATGTACTGACGTTGGACCATTGGCTGCACTTCTCGACATGGATACGAGCAAAGGAAAAATAGTGCGAGAACCCCAGAAAGGAACTGTAGGTATGTTACTACAACTATTGGAAGGATCGAGGAATAGCGGCACAAATCGCCGCCGTGATTTCTGTGTCGCCATTAGAGATCTCGGCTATCTGGATGTTGCTCGATTAGCCTATTTCGGTGAGGAAACATACATTGTGGGGGCAATTTGTTTTTAGCCGCTTGTCCGATATCATTAACCAAAGTGTTCCTATTTATTTTTCACGCGAAGTACAAATAAGATGTCTGCATATAGGGACTGGATTCAGTTGGTGCGCTGATTATTTAATGTTTACGCCTGACCTTATAAACGGTAAATGAAAAGAAAGATATTCTTCCCATCCAACCCTGTGATCAGTGCAAGTATAGGATTTTTTCGAAAATGACATAAATATCATCATTCCAAAGATTCTCCGAACATGAAGAGGTCTAATGATCATAAGTATAAAGTTATTTCGAATCAGGTACGTACAAGCAATAGTTCGCCTTAACAACCACTCTGTAAAAAGATATCTGTAAATTTGATTCGATTTAAAAAAAAAAAATCTATACCTGATCTATGGAAACAGCTTCATCTAGTACCTCAAATTTACAGGAAATAGAAGTAATAGAGTTTTATATATTTCTGTGACAATATTTCTAAGGTTTTGATGGGAAATTTCTTTTATTCCTTCGGTATGCTAATGATTTTATTAAATGATTGTAGTTTTTTGTCCTGTTTTATGCATACAGATTACGATGAAAGTCTCAGTGTACTCTACAACGTTACTTCAAACCTGTCACAACAGGAAATGGAAATGTTGATGAAGCATCTTGATTCTGATAGAGCAGTCCTGTCCATAGGTCCGGCAAGAGAGCAAAGCGGGTGGACATACGACAACCTGACGCTTATGAAGAGATGGAGGAATCAGTTCAGACCAGAACCTTTCCACCACAGCTCAAAGCTCGTTCACGGTCTTCGAGCAATTGGGCGAACAGGAATTGCAGATGAAGTCATTGGAGGTACGTGACGCATCGGCAAGCCATAATGAAAAACACGTCAGAAAAAAGGCATTTAAACGAAATTTCCGTGTTGCAGGCATTGTTGTTTTGACATTTATTTCCAAAGTTGCGATTCATTGACCTCAATGTAAAGGGCAATAGACACTTTGTGCAGAAAATGGCGTTGTTAAGCCTGCGACATGGATGCTCTCCCTAGGTTTTGAAATTAGCGGGGGTGGGAGGGGTAGTATTACAACAAGGTTGAGAAATGTTAGACATCTTTCTATCAGTTACTCACGTTTTAGTTGCGCTTTAGTTAAAATGTTGAAGACCAAAAAGGTTTCAATGATACCTTTCTTTGACTTTTGGGTACAGCGAAACATTACAATAAACCAAATGTATTAGATTAAGATATCTGACATGTAACATACACACGGACAAAGCAATAATAGCCTAGATCATACCATCAAGAGGACCACTAGTCTCTATCCAGGCGGTTGTTGGGTGTGCACCGCACCATACCCCCCCCCCCCCCTCCCCCTCCTCCTCCTCTAGTTACAGGCCGGTCACGACGAGAATAATACATGCGACTAAATGAAAGTTAAATAAAGGTCATGATTTTCACCAAATGCAACTGCAGTGGTCAACTGTGTGACAGGGCACGGGTTGTTTTTACGCTCATATCAATTCTCTAATCTCAATCAGAATCAGCATACATGTGTTCATATTTGTTTGAGGTCTCCCATTTTCTTTAATCTGTGTCAGGTATTACAGTGATTCATGCTAATTTTTCTTTTTCAAAACTTGAAGTTTCGTTTTTCTTTGCTGAACGTTTGCACAACACCTCGAGTTATACTTTCAATTTTATAACATTTTTTTAATTTTTGTTCAATACTCCGCTCACGTTTCACATAAACCACAATTATTTATCAAATGCCCCTCGTGTTGTAATTTTAAGTGAAGCAATTGCAACAAAAACAAGACGATGCTGTTTTATATTGCCTCATCCGGAGAATTATTCCCATTTCTTCTCCTAAATTTCTCCCTCTTCTTCTATTCCAAGCTTTATTTAGTAATTGTTCTTCTTATTATCTCCCAGTTCCTTGTTGAGTTTTCATGCAATGTTATTCCCATTGTGTATATTACTGTATTGTATCTAGCCAATTTGTAATGCATGGGTATTTATCATGTGTGTATTCAATTTGCTTTAGCCTTTGCTTTCTATTTTGAATGTATGTTTGTATTCAATCAACCAGTTCAATTCAATTCAAGTTTATGAAAGGGCACTTTCTCTAGGACGCTCTGTATAAAGTATTTTAAATCTGGTTTTAAACGTGATAACCGTCTGAGGTGAGTAATTTAAGTGTTTTCTTTCTCTTAATAGGTTTGTACCAAATGATGAAAATGAGTCTAGCAGTAGGAATACACATTTGCAACAGTCTCGAGGACGATCAACTGCACAGACTATATGAACACCTAGGACTACATGAAACGGAAGGTCAGGGGGATCGAACCACTACAATAACGACCGTCGTGGAGTGGGTGAGGAATTGTGTGAAACGCTTTGACAAAATTCCTACACTGCAAGGAATAGTACAGAACGAATTCAGTTTTCGAAAACATGAGAACAACGAACTTTTCAAGGCAGGATTTGTCGAACTTGCAGAGGAAATCATGCTACTCCAGTACCCTAGATTCCCTAGGATCATTTAGTTCGAGATTTGAGACTCAGTCGCTGCCATAATGTACTCTGGCATGACATGAATATACATGTTTGTTACCCTCAATTCATATGTATTAAATACCGAGGCCTGGTCTTGATGGTGGAATGTTTCAGTTTCAGCTTCAGTTTCAGTTTATTTCATATTTCAAATGTTGTATAATACATTATTACATTTGGCATGTTACATTTTTGTTTTATACAAACGACGAGAATAATACATGCGACTAAATGAAAGTTAAATAAAGGGAGAAATGATGGAGCCTAAAGACAGCGGATGTTTGTAAGTAATAGGCTCCGGAAGTTATAACATTAATATAGTCTTGTGTATATTAATTAACGTAATAGGATTAAATTTGAGCTTATTGTATGGGAAAATGTAAACTATGGTCATATAATTAGCAATACTTGTGTTACATTATCACTACATGTACGCAAGGTAAGTAATTGAAGGTTTTATCAAGGGCAGCTTGTTTAAAGACATAGTAATTATAGTAATAGTGTAACGTAGGAAGGATGTGTTGGCTGTACAAATGAAACTATTATTATCACTGTTATTATTATTATTTCTAGGAATTTAATCAAAATTAGTACTATTCAAATTGTAGTTTATGGTATTTATTGCATAATTACCATCTGTATCTACTCCAAATAGAACAATAAATCATTACAAAGTAACTTGATATGGGCCCTATTACACTAATAGAAAAAAGTGCTGCAAAACGAGTTGCACATGCCATGATAAACTTGACACTAGAACAGATAAAATCCCTAAGACTGTGTACAAGTTCATTGACTTTGTTCTAAATGTGTAATACTTTATTTTCTCTATTTATATTACGTTGATTGTATTTTATCCTTGTCACTGTGTATAATTGTGATGCTTATTAGAGCCACCTAAAAGGCCAACCTTTGTTATATGGATTTCTCTTCTGGTTAGATATAAATAAAAAACTTAAACAGAATAAATAAAGAGGATGTTATTAAGCAGGTGTGCTTGAGGAGATCACAAGAGATCAAAACTACTGCGCACCAGCCGTCAATAGTTGCGGACAACACACTGAAGTAATTTAGACATTGTCCGCAAATACTTTACCCGCCACAGAAGAAGAAAAAATGTATGCCTTTGTACAGTTATAATCTTTTCAACTAGTATTTGGTATTACACTTGACTTCCCAACTGTTATTATTGTAAAATTTACAAAATGCAGCACCCTGTAAGCTTATACTTGACGTAGGCCTATACTATACTCGTTTGGCTCCACCGAATTTTATATTAACTATTATCTTCAGCATGCTGGGTCAAAGATTCTGTTTTAGTAAAATCTTTAACAGCAATTATAAGTGCTAATGTATCGTGTGAATCAATTGTACACTTTTAAACTGCACAGGTGAAGTATTTAAGGGCCGTTGTTCTTTATACTTTACATGTACTATCTTCCGAAAACTATACAAATCAAAAAGTGTCACTTTGTCCTCGTCATACTTGTTGCATGTTTCATCGAAAGACACGGATATGCCGAACATGATTAACAAGGACGTATCCTCAATTCTAAACTTGAGTATACTGAGAAAAGTAAGACCATACATAGACAGCAGCTATTTTATACAGAGCAATTATTTCAACCTCACTTCTATTATTGTAACACTGTATAGATAAAAGTGGATTCCATGACTTTGAAAAGACTCAAAATACTTCAAAACAGACTTGACACTCAAAATCGTTTTACTAGTGGATTCTCGATCCACTAACAGTGTATTATGGTAAACATTGTCTATACATTGTTTTTTAGTTTAAGACTTTGTTATTAAGTTTTTTAATGATTCGTACTATAATGTATTAAGTGTCAAAATTGAAGTTATATCAAACAAATCATTCTCCTTTCCTGACTCCACACTTTCTTCTTGAAATGTAATTATTTATCTGAGGAGGGACTGACTCCGAGGAAAAAATAGTAACTATTGCCAGTTCCTCCGAACACTAACGTATTATTCTCCTTTCCGAACTCCACACTATCTTCTTGAATTGTAAACATTACCTGTTATACACTGATATAAGAAAGTAATTCTTACTGATGGTGAGAATGAAATCTCACCGTTTGGCCAATGTCCCATACACGCACATTTTTTCACGTTTCCGCCAGCCTGACCAGAATTTGAACGTTGAATTACCGAACATTTTAAGACAGGATTTCGTTTAACTTGCAGAGAAAATCATGCTACTTGTGTACCCTAGATTCCCTGGGAGATTGGTCTATCCATGAGGAGTTCGAAAAGAGCACGTAGTTCTGAGAGTATATTAAGCGTTAAGGCGGATTGAATTGACATTAAATAAATAAACGACTGTTGCTGTGAAAAGCATTGCTATCATATGTTGCATTCTGATATGGTGGATCGTGTTTGCCATATGAGCATAGTCGCGGACATACTTTATTTTGGCAGGACATTAATTTTACATGTGTGTTTCCCTCGATTTATATGTATTGAATATTGGTGCAAGGTATAAGTTAATACTTTGAATGCTTAATTAAGGGCAATTTGACTAAGACAAGGTGAATGGAGATATGGACAAGAAAGTTAAAAATTAAAAGATGTCACATTGAATATTTAGAATAAGTCGTACGAATAATTCGGAATACATCCAAATGAGTGTTTTGATAGCCATCAATTGACTGACTTGAACATAGTTTAACGAGTGTCATGTGAAATATGTCTTAAAGACACTCTGGAGCAGAGTTTTTCGGGTTGAAAAAAGGTTGTTCTCAGAAGGTACAGTTTTTTAATATTGAGATATGTACCTTCCTCAGGTCTGTACATGTTAAAATGGCAAAGGATGCGACTTGAATTGATAGGGGATATTGCTAGAGTAGTTCAGGACCTAATCTCAAAGAATTGAATTATGTTTGACACATGCATAGGGGTGCTAGAGAAGTGTGAGGGAAAATTGGTCAATTACAGGACCAATTTGCAGAGAGTCGAAGGAGTAGAGGAGAAGTAGAAGTGCTTAGACTTGCAAGTCTTCAGTTGATAATCTGATTTCGATGTTATGTGAAGTGTAACCCTAGAGATTAAGTTTTGATGAATTTTTATTTGGGCCTTGTTTATATTTTATTGTTGAAATGTCAGAACTTATTGACTTTGCTTTAGCAGGGAATGGTGTATGTGTTTTAAACCCAGAATAAAGTGAGGTTATTGCTGTATGGTAAATAGCATTTGTGTAAGTGCAATTATTTGAGTTACCATGTGACAGAAGACATAACTACTTCATGGTACAGGGTGAATTGATAACAAGCTTGTTATT